TTTGCTGATTCGACATGATCTAATAATAAAAGCGATTCGGATCTGATTCGTTTCCCTTTGGTCAAATTTAAATTAAATCGATTTCTAACACGTATCTGCTACTACGAGATAACTCGATCCTATAAAACATTCAAAGCCCTTGCAACGATGCGAGTTACGATACGAGTTATTTCCATAGCGAAAAACTCTAAACAAGTACTAGCCTCGTAACCACAAAGGATAGATTCCAACCAACGTTAAAAAATCGAAGAGCCGTCTCTTTATCCGTATCCCGTTCTATATCTACTCGTGTCCGTTCTCATATCTCGCTTGTGAAAAAAAAAATCGAGTTTCGTATAGATTGGATTCGATCTCGTTCGGAGGAAACGAGATCCTCCAACGTGGATCGATCCATTGAGCGAGACGTAAGCTGGAGAGAGAGAGAGAGAGAGAGAGAGGAGAATCTGAAAAAAATCCGCGCGAATCGGTGGATCAGTTTTTTTTTCACGATGCGTCTATGGCAGAAATATTTTTATACGTTACACGTACCAATATTATTCGTGAATTTTCAGAAATTCGCGATTGCTTTGAAGATAGGCGAAGAAGAATTTCGACATCAATGAACGAAATTAATTAATCCGCTACTCGACGACGCACGATTTTTTCAGTATCCCTACTTTTCTATGTAAAAAATTTACATCATCGATCGTAGATACTAGATCGTTACTAGATTCAAAGTTACGATTAATTAAATGAAATTAAATTAAGTTGAATTAAGTACGATATTTTTCTTAATCCTAATATCTGATATCTTTCTAATTCGCAATCTCTTTTCTATAATCTTTCCAAGTCGAATCGATCAACGATCCTGATCGGAATCGTATTGGGCAAAACAAGCGTATTTACGACGAGGAATATTGTTACGCGATACGTGGTTAAAGAGGGGAGGAATCAGGGCGAGCGATTTTAAAAAGAAAAGTCGATACCAATCGGTGGAGAGAAAACGGATGGACTGCGTGTTACGATATTTTTATCGCGGTTAAACGATACGAAAATTGTCCTTTCTCTTCGGCCTGTAACGGAGGGCAAGGCCGGCGTGGATCGCTCAACCTTGACCGGAGGGGGAGGAGATGGGAGATAGGAAAATTGAATTCTTGTGCAGAATCCGGGTGGAGCGGTTCCGTAAATAGGAGGAGTTCGTCCTCGTAAAATGTAACTCTGTTTTTTTTTTGCTCGCTGGTGACAAGATTGGAAAGGAGAATTTTATTCCACGACCATTTCTCGCATGGCTGAGATTGCCATGCATCCCGTTTCTGGGGATGCAAATCTTGTTTACACGGGGGCGACGTATATAAAGTTATTCCTTTCATTTCCATTACGAATTCCTCGTTCCGTGGAGGTTTAATGTCGCGTTTCGACGATGCCTTCTCGTTTTCTCGTGCCAGCCCCGCATGAATTGGCGTCCAAGGGACGTTTCTAAACGAAAGAAGCCGGACAAAAATGGCTTCCGGTTCCATGGCTGGAACGGATTCGCATCGGTGTCGATGAAAAGAAAAGAAAAAAAACGTTCTCAAATTGACAAATCGGTGGATCTCGAGACTTCGAGCGAACGATTTTTCTTATCTCATCGATATTTTTATTTTGATAAAAAATTTATATATCTAGAAATCTCGTGTTAACAAAGGATAAGCAAATTTAATTAGGTAGGTTTATATAATACAAGTTGGTTTAATTCGTTATTTCCATTTCGTTGATAATTCGTTTTTCGTATGAGAGGATTTCACGAAACATTTTCCCCGAAACGAGCAACAACGTACGAAATATTAAAAATTTGGAAATTCTGCAGGAAATAATAATTGCTTATTCCTATTATTTCGGCTCGATTTCTTCGTACAAATATATATTTTCAATTATTCATTTCGATCAATTTCTTTTTATCGTACGCTTCCAATATTCGTAAAAATATTTGCTAAATATTTCAACGAACAAACGAGTCAAGTAAAACAGGAAAGGTAACTATACATATATATTATCAGGAAAAAGACATTTGCTAAGTTCTATATTCGATTGGAACGATACTCTGACCCGCAAACATCGATCCCAAGATTATTGGACAGGTTGGAGGATCATTAGCATAGAGGAGTGGCCCTGGTCAATTTTGAGGATGGCGAATAACATTCCGAGCACCGTGGCTCGGTTAATGTAAACAGGCCTAACTGGGTTAATGCACATTTGCATTAACGCCGGTCATCGTCGTGCGCATTTCCGAATAACATTCGAACATGTCGTTGACCGGGCAATACTCGTAGCGCGAATTAAACCGGAAGTGAGGCAAGAGAGGCTCCGATCAATCTTTAAAAAAAGTTGAATATTTCGTGGAAATAAAATATTATAACGATCAGTGCGATTATATGACGAAGTCCCTTTCATGGAATGATTGCAGAGTTGCAAGTTCTTCCAAAATTTTTTAGATGTTTTCTTTGTTTAGATATTTTCGAGAATGGATAAAGGATAGAAAATTTAACGAAATTGCGAGGGAAGAAGTTCTTCATCGAACAGGATTATCAAGATTTCATCGAGATTTCCTGATACAATTCCTTTGAATCAAATTCGGTCACTTTTTTCGAAATGAGAGAAAATGGAACTTTTTTTGGAAATTATCGAGAAATTTTCCGCGAAGGATTCAACGAATGTTGTTAATTATCGTGACAAAGCCCTTCCATGGAACGAGCAGAGTTGTCAAGTTGCAAGTTCTCGAAAATCTTTGCACCAAGTTTGATAATAAAGTTTTAATAAAGTTTAGACGTTTTCGAGAGTGGAGAGTAAAGGATAGAAAATTTAACGAAATTGTTGAAAAATTGTTTGCAACGCGAAGTTCTTCCCATTGATCAGGATTATCAAGATTTCCCTTCACAATCTTTGTATCAAATTCGAAATTAGAGGGAGAAATGGAACAATTTTTTGGAAATTATCGAGAAATTTTCCGCGACGAATTCAACAATGTTCGTTTAATTATTCAAAGTTCTACTCCGACCAATTTTACCAAAGCTCGATATCATCAAATTCGACTGAAATAATGATTCGACTGATCGACGGTGGATAGTTTAGGTTTAAAGTTAGCGGGCAATCTGTTTCCTCCCCGTTCGACTCGTGTGGTCACTGCGCGTACACAGAAACGAGTGTGCATCGATCGACGCGATATAGCTGGTCGCAAACTGTCCGTACACTTCGAGTCAACGGGTTATCGTCGCGACGTGGCTTCAAGTCTAAGGTCAGAGCTATTTCAGGAAGACTTTGCCTTCGACGAGCCGTGGATATCGAATGAAAAATACACCGCTCCTCCATCGTTCCTCCATCGCTGCTACTATTGTACAGAGAGAGAAGGAGAGAGAGAGAGAGAGAAAAAGAGAAAATATTCCAAGAATTTTTCCGCTCCAAATAAATATCTTTTTCTTCTTTACGCAGGGAAATGTACAGAACGACGGATAAAATTGAGAAAGAGGGGGGAATCGTATCATCCTTATAAGAGAGATTCCACTTCTCAATCAGCTTCTGTGAGGCGTCTGCGCATCCACACTCGATCCCATAATCGAGTAATCGGCCGATGGAACGAACGATCCGACGGCTTTTGCCAAATTAGACGTTCAAATTTGAAATTCAAATCGATTCAGACTGGCAGCCAAATCAATTTACCCTGCCGTCTCGCTGTGACAACGCCGAAATCTCTCATCGATGCGCGATTCTCGGGCGACCTCTCGTTGCAATGTACCATACTCACATATAAACTGGAAACGCAACGAGATCGACGTTAACGTCTTCGTAACGCGATCAACCACGTTTGTCAAGATCCGCCGTTCGATTTGAATGAAATTTATGAAACGAAACAATTTTTTCCCTTCAAAATTTCAAAGTCGAATCTTTTATCTTATGTTGAGTGTATTTATTTTTACGGTATTTTTGGAAGAGAAACTTATTATTGTGGTTAATAGTCGCGTTCATTCGTAGATTCGATTCGACCGACGTGTCCCGATTAATTATCGATAGTGACATTGTGTTACGTTCCCTTAGTGGTCGCTTTATGACGATATCGATACCGGTTAGTTAGCGTAATGTTATCATAACTCGCGCTTACTGGGGTCCGATTATTGGGAGCAATCTAGAGTAATGATCGCGATATACAGAATTTCCACGTTGTTAATTTGAGGGGACAATCGAAACGGGATCTCTCTAATCCGTTGCGTTTAATGGATACTGTAGTAGAATTTGTCGTAAAATACGTCTTAAATTCAAGGATAATAAAAGGATAAACGTTGTTGGAAGATGGCGGGATCTGTAATTATCAAAAATAATAATTTATATTTACGTATCAAATCTCTCTCCATTAATCCTCTGTGAACAATCGTACTTATTTCGAATATATTTACTCTTTTTCGTTCTCTTTAATTCGTTCGTGTCGAAAAATTTCAAAGTCTAAAAAAATTCTTTCGAACGATGATCGTTTATGTTCGAAACATTTTTTTTTTTTTTTTTTCAAAGAAAAATTCGTTTCGAAGAAATTTAACAAATAGAATCTCGGTCTTCGAACGAGCCCATATATTAAATTATTAAACTTAATCCTTCGAAATTCTACGAAGAATTGAGTCCAAGAGAGAGAGAGAGAGAGAGAGAGTTGTTTAATTTTGCAACTCGGCCGAGAGGGACCATGAATGAAATTGAGCCGTCTCAAAACAAATTCAATGGACTCGAAAAAGTTGCGGGACTCGAGAAGCGCGTCGCACGCCTCGGGACCGGAACTTCCTCGGCCAACAAGGAAAGATCGACGCTTATTTTAAGGCTGCGAGCCGTTCTTTAGCCGTTTACCGAAGTTTAACCGAACTTTGCCTTCGAACTTTCTTTCGAAACTCGGCGAATGTGATACGATACCCAACCCGATCCTCCTACACGGATTAATAATCTCGCGGTATTTTCTTTCTTCCCTTTCCGCTTTATTTTTTTCCCCTTTTTTTCTTTTTCTTTTCCAGAAAAGAGATCACGTTGGAGATCATCGAGGAGGATTCGTACGAGAAGGATGCCCTGTTCTACGTCGAGCTGGGTGAGCCACAGTTACAAGGGGGTGAGTAGCAGTCTTTCTTTTCTAAATGCATCGTGTGAAAATAGAACGAGATTCGTAACTGTGATTTTTCTCTTCGCGGGGGGGGGGGGCATCAAAGGAAGGGGGCAACAACCATTTTTCTTTCACGGTCGAGAGATGGAAATTGAAGAAATAGAAGAATTTTTCGAAGCGAATTCGCTTTATTGAGAACGTCAAAGGGGTTCTGTCAATGTCTCTTGTTCAAAATTATTGGAATCTTATTGGAAGACTCTAAAGAGTAGTCGCTGCCAACGTAGGCGAAAAGAAAAAAGAAAAGGAGGCAGAAAATTGGCCGCAAAATTTGCTGACATCGATCCATTTTTTCGTTCGTAATCGTCCGCGACGAAGGGACGTAGTAATCTTCTTGATTAAGGGCGAAGACGAAAGAAATGATCTCTGAATTTTTTGTATTTTATATTTTGTATTTTATATTTTGATCCTTTTTCATTTTTTCGACGAAGCATGCTCGAATCGTTGTGAATTTTGCGGTGATTACAGTTTTTCGCGAGAGAAGACCTTCGATTTGGCTAATTGCGCGAAATCTCGTGTTTGAAATTCGAGCAATTCGAGGAAGGCGAAATAAGTGGATCAGCGATCGAGATTAAATGAAGCGTTACTCGAGAAAAAATTAGCAGAGCTTCCTTAAATCGGCTTCTCGAATTCACGGACGCGTTAAGTTATTGAGCCGGAAATTTCTTCCTTTTCCCTTTCGCCACATATAATTTCCGTGAAATTAACATTTACGATAGATCGCGACAAGGAGCTTCGAATTTCGAATTTTCGTTTCTTATAAATCGCGAGTATGGGACATGTTACAAATTATCGACAAATTATTGATCGAGAAAGAAAAATGGGGAAACGTGTCCACAATTCACGTGTCGGTGAATTGATTTATCGTCCGATTGATGGAAACAAAAAAAAAAAAAAAAAAAAAAAAAATGAAAAAAGAAGGAAGTAAAAGAAAAATTTCCCAGTGAGAATTTTCGTTATATAAAAAAAGAAGCATAAAATTGTTAATTATATGTGTAATTTGCTTTACGCGTTTGTCGCAACTGGATCCGATGTGAATGGACGTAAGTCTGACTCTTTTTTTTTCTTTTTTAATTTGTTTTTTCTTTATTTAACTTGAAACTAGATCGATTCACCGTTCCTGTCGTTTAGCTTCTCCAAACTGTTTGAATCCGTGACAAACGGCATAGAATCGGTTACCAGCACGTGCTATCTATAAACGCAAACCAGCTCAGTAATGGCTCACGTACATTAGAATCTCTCCAATCCGATACAGAGTCGTAGTTGCTTTGTACGTACCATTGTAACTCTGCTCGTTCGTTTCGAATTGCTAGTTCAGCCGCATTAAGCCTGGTTTACACTTGACATCCTCGCGAAAATACGCGAGGGTTTAAAGAGCAATTTTCCTACAAGCCCCTCCTAAATCACGCGCAATACTTTAGAAACTTTGAAAACATTCGCTATTGTAAAATGGAGCGGAGATAACAAATAACGAATNTTTTTTTTTTTTTTTTTTTTTTTTGAAGAATCTTACGATTTTTGTTTCGACAGGGTATCTATTCGTTACTTCGAGTTGCCATCTTGTTATTAGGTTGTGATTTCATCAAAAAGTAATAGCAAGAAAGAATATATTTAATAAAGGGGATAGGAATGAATTGTGTTATACGTGTGTCGATGTCATCTTGTTATTGCCATTATTGCCATTATTGCCATCTTGTTATTAGGGAACAGATTGTGATTTGATCAGAAAGTAACTGCAAGAAAGAATATATTTAATAAAGATAGATAGGAATGAATTGTGTTATACGTGTGTCGTGTCGATGTCATCTTGTTATTGCCATTATTGCCATTATTGCCATCTTGTTATTAGGGAACAGGTTGTGATTTGATCAGAAAGTAACAGCAAGAAAGAATATATTTAATAAAGGGGATAGGAATGAATTGTGTTATACGTGTGTCGTGTCGATGTCATCTTGTTATTGCCATTATTGCCATTATTGCCATCTTGTTATTAGGGAAGAGGTTGTGATTTGATCAGAAAATAACTGCAAGAAAGAATATATTTAATAAAGATAGATAGGAATGAATTGTGTTATACGTGTGTCGTGTCGATGTCATCTTGTTATTGCCATTATTGCCATTATTGCCATCTTGTTATTAGGTAATAGGTTGTGATTTGGTCAGAAAGTAACAGCAAGAAAGAATATATTTAATAAAGGGGATAGGAATGAATTGTGTTATACGTGGGTCGTGTCGATGTCCTTTGTTTCACTACTACTCTGAGCTCGCTATGTCGTGTAAAAAGGGCGATTCGAAAAAGGGGAACAGACAAAACAGAATCTAAACGGCGATCGCGTCCAGCGACACCCATTCGCGCACAAATATACAAGATACGAGTCCTTACATCTTTACACATGTATAAACTCAACCCTTATTCGTTTGGATAACTTGAATTCTTCGTAGAATAAAGAAAAATTAGAAAAGAAAATAACGGTGATATCGATGCTTTCCAAAAAATACTTTGCAACCTGTTACTTCGATCTTGAATCATTTTTCTTTTCCTTTCGTATCGTTCTAACAGAGATGACGATTCTATCAATATGTTCAACGACATTCGATTCGCGCACAAATATACAAGATACGAGTCCTTTATACACCTTTACACATGTATAAACCCTTATTCGTTTAAATAACTTGAATTCTTCGTGAAACAAGGAGAAATTAGAAAAGAAATTAAGAACGACGATATCTGCTTTCCAAAAATCTAACGATGACGATGCTATCAGTATCCTTAAACCTTTACACATGTATAATAAACTCTTGTTATTCGTTTGAATAACTTGGATTCTTCGTGAAACAAGGAGAAATTAGAAAAGAGATTAATCAAGAACGATATCTGATGCTTTCCAATAAACACTTGCAACCTGTTACTTCGATCTTGAATCATTTTTCTTTTCTTTTCGTATCGTTCTAACAAAAATAACCATGCCCAACGATCACAGTGCTACTTCTATCCGAGGATAATAATAATTGACGCGCGAAGAGAGCTTAACTGGTGAAAAATACTTATTCGAGAACTTATTCGAGAAGCACACGCGAATTCCTTGAAGAATCGTCACGGAGAATCCGATAACACAGCTCTTCAGCAAGAAGGTTCGGTTAACAGGGGCGTGGCGTGGCGGTGGAGGACATCGATTCGCTCGATTCTCCGCATTCCAGTGACACCGATTGCGTTCCAATAGCTCGAAAATCCAACATCGCGAAAAAATCGAAGATATCATCACGCATATCGTCATTACGCGTTGCGTGTGAACTCGTCGTGGACGAAACATCCCCCTTTCGAAGGAGAGCAAGAAGGGAGGGGGGGAATGCTGCTCACAGTCTCACAACGGAATTCATTCCTTCGTCTTAGAGACGAGGGCAGAGAGAAGGGATTCGGACGATCGATGGATCGATCGATGGACGAATCTTGGAAACGGATTTATGACGATAATGGAAACCCGTTATCCATCACGGAGAATTTTCGACGAAAGGGAAGGAGAGGAATTGGCTGTTGAGGGCGGATTCTTAAAGATGAAAGGAAATCTCGTGAATGAATCGAAAGGGAAAGAAACAAGGTGGAACGGATTTGGGACGAAATATGTCCGCATGTAGGTGGATTTTCAGCGGTGTTCTTCACATGATCGTAGTGTTGTTTTTGCATGATCGTGATTTGCATATTACGCGTGGTCTCGCGTCACCACGCGTTGCTGTGGTTATGCCTCACGACTCATGAATATGGATTAACACGCATTTCGCCGCGGATAATGTACGGTTTAATATCGTTTGATATCATTCGGGGTAAACCGTAATTTCATTGTTATTTTATTCGTGGCGGTTTGTATAAGAAGATAAATCGCGATATTTGATAACGTGACGTAAGACGCGTCTTCTCGAAGATCGATTTCTCGATAATAGTCGAGAGGAAGAGGGTTGTATTTATAACCGTTTGTTCCAGAATTAATTAATTGGTTAATTAACGGACGGTTAACTCGAAAGGAAATTGATGAAGAATTCTCGAGAAGAGAAGAGGTGGAAGGAAGGAGAGCTTAATGGCCTGGTTGGGATAAATGGCTTCGGGGTCGCGATCGGTTGAAAAGCGGAACGATTCAACGTTTTAAACTTGATGAAATCTTTCGATTCGACCGAATATAATTTCGTTCGATCGCGATCAAGCGATTAAACCGACGGTATATATGGTATCTTCGCTCCACTTTCGTTCTTTAATCGGTTATGCATTTTTACAATTTGTTCGAAGTCCCTGGAAAACTGGCTCGTCGAGTCAGAGCACCAGGCTTCGCCATCGATCCGTAAAATTTGATTTGTTTTCGCTACTACGTGCCTCACCTACTTAAATTAAGTCGATTTAACAATTTATCACTGCCAGTTTTAATTTTATATCGAAATATCGAGATGAATAAATATATTAATCAATTCGAATATTGTCATCAATAACGAACTGGAATTTCTAGATCGAGTTTAAAAAAAAAAAAAATTAGAATTTTTAACCGACAAATGATCGATCTACTTGTTAGTTGTCACGGGATACATTTTTTTTTTTTTTTTTAATTTTTTATAAATTTGAAACGCCGACCATCCGTCCGTCGCGTATTGCAGTGACAGAAGATGTTTCCTCTTAATATGATTTTAATCGTGGCCACGAAATTAAACGCATCGATGGGAAAGTTAAATAAGTTTCTCTGGGTGACCTTTGCCCCATATTCATCAACGGAATAATTGCTCTTCTAAGTCTAAAGTAATTATATCGAAGGAAAATTTTATACCATCCGAAGGTTGGTTTAAAAATTATTTCAAGGATTCTTAAAGCTGATATAAAAGTTTTTTTTACAAGGGGAATTTTTCTTGTCGGGGAAAAATGCTAAAACTTTCGAGAACTAATTTCACTGCTCAATCAGATTTACCTCTGAAAAATG